TTAAAATCTTGTTTTGACATTTTAAGCAGATCCAAAGTTGCAGTAAGAAAGGCGGGATTTAGATCCTTATTTTATAACACAAAGTTATACTTTTAAATTTTAGTATATTTTATCTGAAGCTAACCTTAAGGTTGGTCACTTATTTCTCATTATTCCTGAGGGGGAAAAAAACAACAAAAAACCTAAATCAAAAACCTGTTGAAAAAATAAGGATCTAAATCCTGCCTTTCTTACTGCAACTTTGGATCTGCTTAAAATGTCAAAACAAGATTTTAATTCATTGCACACTTGATCATATTTTATAATAGCCAAAGCAAATGTGAAACTGAAGGGGTATGCAACCCAAAAGCAACTATGGCAGTTTCAGTCCATGTCTATTTAAGATTAATTTGAAAAATTAAGAAGAGTAGCCCTATTGTCCTTTTGAATTATACTTTACATAAGAACATCAGCAGTCTTAAACTTGTAACCAATATTTAAACATAAATATGAAGTTACAAGACAGTGAAGAAGATCTCAGTTTAATTTACTTCTTTGCTTATTCATATGGTTTAAATCTTGCATACTCTTCTCAGGCACAACTCACTCACTATGACTTCAAAAAAAAAAATTGTTTTATTGAGGAATTCAAAACATTGTCCTAAATCAATTTTGAGGCAATTACAGGGCTAAACCCTATAAACTTAGTTAGGCAAACAGTTTTACTGATTTATCTTGGGACTCATTTGTACAGGCATGTAAAGGAAAAGTCACATCCAATGTAGTATCACTAACTTCACACTTAGACTAAAATTAACACTGATTAAATTAGAATTAGAATTTATAATGAATTTTCGAATTATTGTATGTGACACTATATAGACAAATTAGCTATTGGACACCTTTTGATGATTATGTCATTTAAAATTATAAAGTTTATTACTATTTAATATTTATTATTGCTACGTCAGTATGTTTAATTCTTCATGATTTTTTGGTGCCTTATTCCAATTCAACAGTGTTCATGCTAGTGAAATTATTGTGGATGAATCAATTCTGAGATGGTTGCTAGGGTGGCATGGGCACTCAAGCACATGGTTGACAGCACAGGGGTCACAACTTCATGTCAGATTCAAACAAATCTGCAAATTCTGCTAGGTATCTTGTCAGAAGGACAAGGATTGAGAAAGGAAGTTCTGAGACATGACTAAAATATGGCTTATTCATGCATAGGTCATATTGATATGGAAGGAAGCCTCATCTGAGCATATCCTAGAATTTTCCCATTTGCCATTATGATAATATATAAAATTTATCCCAAGAGTGATATTCCTGCACCTACAGTATGAAATTAATTTTGTAATTGGCAGATACAGATAATAAGTCAAGTTATAAAAGGTAAATTTTCTTTCCATTACTAAAAAGATAAGAATTTGCAAACTAGTTAAGATGTGACAGTGCTATATATATATATTTAAATATATATGAATTTTTTAAAAAGTAGGTTTACTATAATTAAGAAGCAAGTTTTTAGCCTTACCCAATAGGCCTTGAAACAATAATTTCAACTTGAGGTTCTGATTTTGACTCTAAAATAATGTTGTAAACTTCTTCATTTGTAGCTCCAGGCAGGGGTTTACCATTCCATTCTAGAACTTCATCCCCTTGAGGTTAAAAAGAAATGCACTTTTTATTGCATTTTCCACACTTTTCCCAAAAAATGAAAAACATATATTACAAAGTTTATGTATCTCTTAAGTTATATTTCCCCAAATCAAATATTCTCTTGTGGATTGGATATTACATATCCTCTTGGATTTGATATTCTCTATTTTAATTTGTCAAACTACCACTAAGGTTGTCAAACAATACCATATTTAAATTGAACAATTTATGAAAACATTTTAATATTTTAGAGATAATATAGCAACAGGCATTATACCATGAAATGAAGCTGTATAGTACCTTTTAAGAGACACTTTATTAACGAGAGATAGTATCCTCTTTATAACAGTCTGATCTCCAAAAAATAAAATATTGTGTGTCTAGCAGTACAACCATACAAATCACAACCTTTTTCATTGCGAGTTATATAACATATGCTCAATGTAACCTTTGCATCTAAAGAACAGTCTTCATAGCCTGTACCAAATGAACAAAAGAAGGAAAAGTAGCAGATGAATCAGTGGTTCCCAGATTGAATCCAATATGGAATTGCTGGATGTTACTCTCTTCAGGTAGCCAACAGCTAGAATCCAACAGGCTTCATCAGTATATTTGACAATATTAAATCAGGAGGGAAAGCTTTAAAAATAATTTAAATAACAAATAAGAATTTATAATTAATATTCAGGAAATCAGTAAGTATATGTATTCTTTTAGGGCCCATTATAAGCAATGGTCAAAAGCACTGCAGCACAATACTGCACCATGTAGCATTTACTTTTATTAGCATATAACTTAGGGATGGTGATTTAATGTTTTTCAGACATAGTACTGAACCAACACATCATCAGCATGGTGTCAGGCTGTGCCTCTGGAGCTGCTCCTTTTTTATGAGATCTAAAACAAATACTTAAACATGTACTTTTTAACAAACCAAACAAATGGTCCATAAGAGAAAAAGTCCATCCTAGTCAAATTCTGAGACTGTTGTACCCTGCCTTCTTTTCCAGAAAGACAATTCTAGGTATAAGAAGCTAGAGACCTGATCACAAACTCAATGCTTTAGGGATGATTCTATCTTCAGCAGGGGTTTGGACTAAATTACCTCCTTGGCTTGGGACAATCATTCAAAAAGGCTGAGCCTGAATTGATTCAATTTTTGCAGGTTAGTCTAACCTGGTTAGGCTGAGCCAGTTTGTAACTGGACAGGCATTGTCTCTGGAGTGAGGAAATTCAGGAACATGCCTACAATGACTCAGGCTAGAAGCCAGAGAACGCTAGAGCAGCCCTCCCTTTCCTTGCATAATGCTGAGCTTGGGGGGGGCATGGTCAGGCCCCGGCAGATTGCTTTAATTAGGGATGTCTACCTGCACCATCCCACGTTTTTCCGCACTGGCTGCTCATGGGGTGGGAGTGTTGCCAGCCCCCAGTCCCCTGCTAGCACTCTGAGGCCAGGGAGGGGGTGTGCAGTGCATGCACCTGTTGATGATACTGAACTTTTCAATCTCCCTCCCTGCTTCTTTATAATGTCTGCAGCAAACTGACAGGCAAGCAAGTCAGCAGGAGGCTGATAATAGTGTTTATTACGCCATCAGCAAAACAATAGCTTCTCTCCATTAATTCAAACTCTTCATAAACAGCTTACCAGCTGCCTGCTAATTAGCTCCAAAAAGCCTTAAGTCAGGGGTCGGCAACCTGGGGCATGTGAGATTATTTTGATTGGCATCATAGGTGGAGGAAGAAAAAAAAATCTTAATTACTGATTTCTGTGCACACAAAAGTATTTTCCAAGACATTAGATAAAGATTTAAAAAATATATGGGAAACCCCCAACAGCCTTAACTTTTATTTCCAAAGTTAATATTTAGCTCTTAAAAACCTGCAAAGTATTTACTACTATTTAAAAATAGCTAGCTTTCCTTTTTCCTTTCTAGTTTCTAGGGACCGACTTAAATTGAGGTTTTCTGATTTTCACAGTAACTGCAAAAAATAGTGATTTCTGCAGTCACCACAAAAAAATGGCATTGGCTGTGATTTCTCAGGGAATCAACTAAAAAAAAATTAATAAAAACAAAATGCTGGCTCTCCAGTGAGAGCCAGCAGTCCTCGCTGCTGCTGAAGCCTGGCCTTGCAGCCCTCCTGGGAGGGAAAGGTGCTGGCTAGTCAGGTGGCACAAAGGGCAGCAGCCAAGTTGGCAGCTGCCCCTTATGCCTCTCCACTAATTAGTGTCAAGGGGTAGGGCTGCCTGAAGGGCAGCCAGCAGTTAAGATGGTAGCCACCTCCTCATCTCTCCTCCCATCAGGGCCTCTCCACTACGAAACAACGATGGGTGGGGCTGCCAGAAAACAATCATGAAATCAGCTTTTCAGGCCATAAGCAAGCAGCAAAAATTTATTTCTCTCACTGAAAGTTAGGTAAGTCTCTACAAATACATTATACAACATATGATCATTATCCCACTTATTCCATGATCTAGACCACTGGTGATCAACCTTCTATCCCCATGGCCTGGATGAATGGCACAGTGCTGGTCCATGAGCCAGACCCCACAGGCAAGGTTAATCTGTGAACTGAATCTACCATGGGGTTGGTGCACAGGGTCAGGTCTCAGTTGTGAACAACACCACTGGCTCAGATGCCACCACTCTCCTGTTGCCAAAATTTCAGAACCCATGGGGAGCCCTACAGACCAGATGACCAAGCCCTACTGGCTGAATTAGGCCTGGGGCTGGCAGTTGAACACCACTGATCTAGGCAAATAGATTCCAGTATAGATTGCTAGAGCAATGAAACCTAAGTTTAAAACTGGTTTATTGATATCATCATAGAATACTACCAAAAAAATTAAATACAGCAAATTACAATGGGAAAAAAGGAAGTATTGTAAGTTCCCAATCACTAAACCACACTTCTTTTTTCAATAATGTTTCAATAGAAGCAAAGACAATAAAAAGCAACTGAAGAAGTTTTTGGTAGCCTCACTTTTAGCATCAGATCTGAATGCAGCCCCCCTAGATAGCATTATATGTTACTGTTGTTGTTCAATTAAACTACTGCACACAAGAAACATTCATTATAAATGATTTGAGGAAGGCTTTTCATTTCTTGACCTGCTACCATTTTCTTTTTACTTACAATAATAAGCTTTGTTTTTTTATATGCATTTTCTCTGTATTTGCATTAATATTACTTAATAGCAATTTTAGCAACTTGTCAATAATTAATGTCTTGAACTTTATGCATACATCTAAGCCATATGTAAATATCTAATGATATAATAGGTGTAAAGTTATTAAAACTTTTCACATTAGCATCAAAACCAATTTTTGTTATTTACCATAATTTGTATACATGAACATATGCATTTCCCACATATTAGTAACATTTTTATTATAGAAATTAACACGAATAAGGTTATCTTAGTACAATCAGTTTCTTTACCTGCTCTTAGATGCCCCACCACATCAGCAAGGCTACCCTTCTTTACTTTGGTAATGAAGGCACCAAGACGTCCTAACTCAGTCATTTTTCCTCCAACGACCTGAATAATCATAAATTTGTGAGATTCCAATCCATAAACTGGACAATATATTAAAGAGTTTAATTAAATGATTTAGTTTGTACAGTTTATTCATTCACATTACAATTATTTTTAAAACTGGGAATGAATTTATTCACAATTGACTCTGTTCATCATCAGTCATAACTTTAAATTAACTCTATTCAGAGGACAATTCCACATATACCAAAAAGCCAGTTTTATTTGCACAAAGTAAAACTGTGACACACACAGAATGAACAGAAACTGAAATTGTCTTTATGTTCCTCTTTAATACATTAGTTTAATTAATACAAATGCAGTATTTTTTTTAAATCTGAAATCACCAAATATGACTTTGAGACAATCAAGAAAATAAATTTTGTCCAAATCAATCATTAATTGTTTGTGATATCCACAAGCGCAAAACATTCTTAATAAACATGTCAGCATAAAGTTGCCAAAAGCCATTAATACAATAATAGATACCACAAGTAAAAATAATATGTGTAATACTAAAATTAAAGGATTGCCATTGGCCAAGAACAATAGAAAGTGACACTCTTTATCAAAATATATGATAGAATATAAAGGAAAGAGAGAAGCAGCATTCATAGTAAACAGACCTTTCCTGGTTTCTACTGAACAGAGATGAGGTGATTATACTCCTAAGAAGGATGTATGATACACAGAGAGAAAAAATTATACAAGTTACTTCAAGGGTGTGAGGGTAAAGAAGAATGCTAAAACTTCTTTTTTCCCAGCAAACAGAAAATGTTGGATGTCTAATTAGTCATGCTCCAGCAGACTTGATTAATTGATTCTGTTCTGACCTGTGCTAATTAGCATGCATCGGAGCTGGCATCAGGCACACGTGCAGGTGCCCTAAAGTGGCAACAAGCACCACAAACTTGGCCTACTCTCATGAACCTCCAGACAGGAGTTGGTCAAAGTATTTGTCAGAGGATACTCAGTATCTGCTAGAACTAGGTTCTAAATTTCACATTATATTTACCTGTGTATGTGTCAACCTTTCTCTATTGCTATGTACATGTAGCCTGTGTGGGTTTTACAGAAAAAGTATGCTTATGTGACCCACTGATGAATATGTCCTGCAAGTTTTCCTCTGTGTCCAATCTATAGAAAATACAAATGGTTATAGCTCCCACTGTGAATTCTTAATTCAAGCTTTAACAATTTGTTTCCAACTGGTCGTCTCTGGTTCAGTTCTTTGTTTTTTCAACAAAGAGAGGCTATTATACTTGTATCCAGGAAATCATATTACCATATACTATATGCTGCATACAGACATAAAGGATTAAATTAAAAGGCTCAACTACAGTTATTATATGTTACATAATAAAAGACTGCTTCATCAACAGAATCTTATTATCCACTAGCCAACTGCCCATCAAGAATGATGAAGGGGGTGAAGTGGGCAGGGATTTAGATGTGTCGCCCACCCTCCATCCGGGCCCACTCCCCTCTTGCATCCTGCTGCTTCGGGTCCAGGCACATTCCCCCCTTCCCTGCTGCGGCGATGGGGGGAAGGGGAGGAGTGAGCCTGGGCCTGAGGCAGGGGGTGTGGGGGAGGACTGGGTCCAAGGATGGGAAGAATCCAGCCTGCTGCAGAGGTTGGGGGAGGGGGAGCAGCAGGCTTGGGTCAACACTGCGATGGCGGGGAGATGGGAGGAGTGGGTTTGGGGACAACACAGGGGGAGGAGGGGTGGTGGTGAAGTGAGCCCTGGCCCATATCGGGCCAGGCCTGCTGCTCCCCCTATCAACATGGCAGGCCAGCTTTTCCAACCCCCTTGGGCCTGCTCCTCCCTTCCTCCTACCACTGCTACATTGGCCTGGGCCCACTCTTTCCCTGTCTGCTGCCACAGCATGGCTACTTCTCCCCGCCACATTGGGCCTACTCCTCCCACCAGTGCCTCATTGACCTGTGTCAGCCCTGCAGGTGATCACAGAAGGCCTTTGCCCACTCCCCACAATGTCCCGACCCCTCTCCCCCTGGCCTCATCCTTACCTCCATCCCCTGTGTCCCCACCATCATGGCAGTAATCCACCATGCTACTGCCTCCTGTCCCAATGCTGTGTTCACACTCTGATTGGTTGTTTCAGTCAGCCAATCAGAGTGCGAATAAAGTGTTATGGACAGACAGAAAGACAGATTAAGGCTTTTATATTAAAATTATTATAGATAATACTATTGTTTGATAAACATTTATCAGTTCAGGGTTCTGTCCAATACATGTAAAAATGTATTCCTTTTGTTTCAGACAATTGTTTTAACAATTATGCAACAGTGTTACAAAATTCTCATATAGCTAATTGTTATAGTGAACTAAGCTGCTGTATATTAGCCTAATGGAAATTAATTGATTTACAGCATAACTTTGTAATACTTACTTTTAGTCCAAGTAATGCACCTGATTCTTTTGGCATAGTCGTTCTCTTGTTAAGAATAACACGTCCAATTAAGCGATCTCCTTCTTTAGATGGTTGCCACGTTACAGGATGCTATTAAAAATATCATTGGAAGCAAAGAATGGAAATCTCTTCTTGGTTGACAGACACAGATATATTTTCAGTTGAATGATCATGTGACAGTAGAGATAAATGCAATCCATTTTTGTTTAAATACTGAACAAAATTCTTCTGTTACAATGCTGTGTCAGTTGGCTCTTGCTTCATAAAATATTTATAATTATCTTGTGCCACTATAAAATCATCCTAATGAGGTTGTTTGAATTTTAATACAATTAAAACATATTTCAGTGAATAAAAAAACAGTATTCTATATTACACTGATTTGAAAATCCCTTTTATAAAGTAAGAGTCCTGGTGAGTAATATTTATGTTATTCAGTCCTTTTGCATACATTCATTACACAGTAAGCAACTAATGACCCTGCTCTTATTAGTGCCAAGGATAAAAAATTAACTGATGCCCTCGCCAGCAGGATCAGACTTGTCTTTTTTTTTTATGTGTAAGTGACAGTCCACAGGACTAAAATATAAAACCTTGTCTGAGAAAAATCTCTATCCCAAAAAAATGCTTAAATCATTTTTCTCATGAAGACAAGAGAGAAAATTTTTATTCAGTTTGAGTCTTATAATATTCTAAACAAATGTTCACACGATTTGTTTAGAACAAAGTTCTAGTATCAATAATCAGTTCATCTCACTGAAATGAAATGTGACAAACATTTTAATATTTTAATCCATACCTATAAACCTAGATTTCCTATTTCTTACCGAACTAATAGGGGATGTCTCCCTACTGTGCCACGTGGCAGGATCCAGCCAGTAATAATCCAAGTCACCTGGAAGAATATGAATGGAAAGAAATGTGTAACCTCTCACTGAGAAATGTGTATGAATACATCAATTTTGCATGCATGGATTTTAATGTAAAATAGTTCTGTGAAGCAAATGCAAAAACTGTACCATGATCTGAATGGCTGTAAATGTTTCAGTTTTGGGACAACATCATATATCAACACTTGAAGAATAAAAATGTATTATAGTACAGGACTTTTGTTTTTCCAGTAAGCGCACTGAGTATCTGCTGCATGTTCCAACTTGACTTTCAGTGCTGCTGAAACTCATTCACCTAACTTCCAGAGATTAATGCCCTCATTCATATCTCTCAAGACCACTGGATAAGGGAACAATAGCAGTCCTTTACAGAAATAATGTTGCATCTAGGATGAACAACCAACTTAAAACAGGAATTTGGTTACAGCTGACCCAGAGAAGGGACAACAGCAAACCACCTGGAAGAAACAACAGTGTCTGAATACCATGATGATGGGTAGCCTAAACAGTCTAGATAAAGAAACAAACTGACAGACAGGTAGTCAGAAGAAATACAAAGCCAAGTAGAGCAAATACCATTAATGGAAGTTGGTCACAATAGAGGGTTGCAAGTTTTAATTTTGTTCAGAACATACAGAGTTGTGTACTGTATGTGCACACAACAGAGACTCAAAGTGGTAGAAGATTGAGCAACCAACCATTTTTCAATTGGACAGAGTAGAAGAACTTTGTAGTTTGTGTTGGAGAGGACTTGGGAAGAAATGCAGATTGGAATCACAAAACTGGTATTTTAGGGGACTTTCAAAGGGAGAAAGAGCATGTAGGATGCCTTTCCAGTAAGAAGTAATAACAGACAAGATCTGAGCTTACATTATGTGGTTGGGACAGCTTGAGAATGAATGGTTTGAATATGTTTACGGAAGGCAGACTTCACAGTAGAAAGCGAATGATTTAACTGTTTGTGCATTCTGATGGTTGGGGGGATGATCGGACTGCGCACAGCCTTTCTACCCATAAGCTGAGGGAAGGGACAGACATTACAAAAAGCAGCAAAGTTTGGCAATGAATTATGGGGAATAACTTTATGATTAGAGGAATGGCAACAAAGGATGTTGGGAAGGACTTCAGAGAATGAGGCTGCTGGCAGACATTGCATTTATCATGCAATTGAACTACTGAAGTGTTAAGTACATGATAAATTGTAACATATCAAACTTTCAAGTAGTTTACCAAGTGATAAAATGGTGAACCAGACAGAAAAATGGCAAACCAGTCTCACTGATTATCCTCATTAAATGTGGAACATCTTTCTGGCTTCTTTGTATCTTGCTTTAATCTGAACATGTGGCATGTCAATATCAAGTGATATGACTTTTTCCCCTGCCTCTGCCAACAGGGTTTCCTGCATGGAGGAGGGGGCAAGGTTTCCACCCCCTATCCTTATGGGCAAACAGGGGTGGTGCTGACAACCCTAGCTGCTACCTGAGTCTGAGGCTGGCGAGTCATGATCACCCTAGTTTGGGGTAAGGGGAATGCCCCTCGTCCCTTGCATAGCACCAGAATGACTAGCTGATTGGCTCAGGCAGGGGGCATTCCACCACGGCTTGATCCCTCCCCAGGGACACCTCAAGCATCCTGGACTAAAGACCCCTTAAAGTTCCAGGTACCTGCAACCCAGCATCACTGCACAAAGCAGTGGCCCTTAGGGATCCCAGGATGAAGAAGTGCTGGGGGATTTGAAGGGCTCACAAACCTCTCAGTGAGCTGGTCTGGCTCATTGACAAGATCCACTGAGGGCAGAAGCAGGCATGGAGCAGCCTTCTTTTGGCCCTGGCTGGAGAGCACGCCTTTGTGCAGCTCCAGATTTGGGATTTGAACATGTGGCTGCCTGTCTTTTAATTTTTTTGTCCTGGTACAAATGTTGTAGCTCAGCAAAAATAACATCTGCCAGGGGCCTTACTATGGACTTTGGCTGTAGGTTTCAGGAGTTTGTGTGTTGTGTTTTCATCTCTTTCTTTGTTTTAGGCAAAATATCTTGTCTCCTTTTTTGACATAACATTTTTGACCTCTATTCCTTTTTCTATTCCTTAGTAGTATGCTCATCCTTTAAGGCATTTTTTCAGCTAAATTATCGCAATGCAAAAGTTGGGGTTTAAACTCTTGCTGCTCTAAGCCTCTCCTGAAGTGCTAACAACATTGTCTGATCTTAACCCCAAAGCTTGGAGATTTGTTAAGGTTTGAACTTCTAGGTGAAAAATGAAAAAAGTTATAATGGAACAACTGTCTTTTACATGGCCCTGCTACTAGAAGGAATGAGGCCCAATTTGCTAGTAGGTTTCACTGCTGTTTGCTCGGTGGTAACAACATGTTGGGGTTCAGTAACAAGATCTGTGGAGAAGATAATCACAGATCATTCTGCCCTTGCTACTGTGAAGTCATCCTGGTCCCTATCCCAGTGCCTCCTTTCTGGGATCTAGCATCTGAGCACTTCCTTTTCTTTTTTGTGTCTTTGTGATAAGGTATTTAGTGGAATTCGCAGATTCATTGAATCTAGCAGGGCTATTCTGTGAGTGCTTCTGCTACGACCCGGAACTTGCAACTTTGAGCTGTTAACCGCGCACCTTAGCGCCACCCCAGCCCCTATCTGAACACTTATAGTGAAGAGTGTCAAACAAGTAGCACTGCTTAAAATAGAATAGACAGTTATATCATTTCACAAAGGGTTACCACAAGTGCTTTGACCACTCTGAAAGTTTTAATAATGCCAGAAATGGAATTTCCCTTCTTCTCTTATGGTTATTTATTATTTAAGTCATCCCTATTACCATCCAGGCTCAATCTTTCTACCATTTCTTATTTCTAGATTACTATTACACTGATTTTGATTACTCCAAACAAATCTATTTTATTGCTGTAGTCCAGTGATTCTCATTCAAGGTGCTGAGACACCTAGAGAAGCTACAAGTTCTTCTGAAGGGTGCTGCAAGTTTTAAAGAGATAAGCTGGGTGTGAGGAGAAAAACAGATAAGCACAGGTTCAGGCTGTTTCCTGCCTGGCTGGTCCTCCACTCCCACTACACAGACACTCTGCGAGGAGATAAGCACTGTAACGGCACTGTTTTTAAAATGGACTGACAATCAATTCACAGAAGTTACGGAATCTAAAATGGTTGAGAACAACTGTGATTATCTATGTTCTTCAACTGCTTTTTACTGCTTTTTGTCAGTCTTTTTAGTTAAATTACACAGACCTACTTATACATATCCACAGATATATTTATATAAAATGTCTGGCTAGGGCTACTGCTAATGCCCCTAGTGGTAATACGGTTCCATTTAGATGGAAAGGGAAGTAACTTATAGTGTTATAAGCATTTTTGCATCAGTATAATCACATCCGCAACAAGAGGGTTATACCACTAGTACAGTGATCCTCAACCAGGGTTCTGGAGCACCCTTGGATGCCGTGAGATCCTTTCAAGGGTGCTGTGGTGTGCAAAAGTGACTCATATGATAAACCCAGAAATTTCAAATAGGAATCCAGAGTGGTAAAAACATGCTGATGTAGTCTATCTTCGTTCTTTGCAAGAAAAGAATAGCGCTAGTATTTTTCTATAGTCTGAAAACAAATAAAAACTACCACAATGGTAGAATTAAAGGAGATAAAACTTTTGTACAAGATCAATGTCTTTCCATATTATCTCTGCTTCTCTTCTTCAAATCCCTTTCTTGCGGCAATCCTGAACTGGGGTAACTTGGAATTGCTTCATACATTTTGGTCAAATAAATGCCATAACATTGTTTTTCTTACTGTACAACCATTTTTAAAGCTTTTATTTGGAGGCAAGGCAGGGAGAGACAGGGGTTCAAGTCAAAACCAAAGGGTATCTTCAACATTTTTCAACCAAATAATCTTTCAACCAAAACCAAATGTATCTTCATAATTTCATAGAGAAAATACATCCTTCACTATCATAATGCTGTTTTCTTTAGTAAAAATTACAAACACAAATTAGTAATATAACAAAATAAATGTTAAAAGTTTAGAATTTTAGAATGATATATATTACTCAATTATCAAATGTGTAATATGGAAGAAAGCTTTAACTTACATTGAAAAATAACTTAAAAATCAAATCCCAAACATGCACCAGTTCAAACAAATGGACTCCTATAAAAACAAACTTTTTAAATAACATTTGTGCCAATTTTTTTTCTACTTTAGGTCGACTGACATTTAATTTATTTAACAACTTATTTCAATTTTGGTCACTAATTTAAGCCTAGGTATATGATGAAAAAATACATTTGAAGTTATAACTCATGTTTTACTTATGATTAATGAAGCGAAAAACAGTGTATATTTATCAACACCTACTTCCTAAGAAAATAATTCAAAATATTGTCTCCTGCCAATAGTAAAATGCTTTTCCTATTACTATCTTTCCCACTGTATAATTAATAATACTGCACTATGGGAGACAAACTGATATGACCATAAATTTATTTTACCTGGAATAAGTGTATAGAATATACTACATGACACAGTCTTCAATCAGAGAAAAACAAAACTGACTATCCTCATCCATCTAATGTCAAAGGGAAAATAAAAACAACTCTGCTCTGCAATTTATCCTTACTGATTTATGATAAGCATTATAGTTGTTACTTTACAACAAAATAAAGACAAAGGATACTCTTTCATTAAAGTTGCAGAGTAGATAAATGGCAAAAGGTTGGACTTGTCTAATGATGTACTGGTCACAATGCTTGCCTGATGATTTCACATTATACAGAAAATTCTGCAGTCTGCATGCCTCATTCAGACTAGCTTCAAAAAAGAGCTAGATAATGAAGGTGACCTACTTCATCTCTAGATTTTTTCTGGAAGTTTACTGGCATGGACTGAAAGTTTTATGGAACAGATATTCTTCTCAAATGGTATGCCAGATGTGTAGATGTTATCTCAGATGCAAAGACCTGAACAACCACAGGCTATATTAACA